GCTTAACATGTGTGTAGGCGTAACTGATTAGTGTAGGTTTTACACATTTCATTAGTGTAGGCTTAACATTTCATAATTAAAAAAAATAATGGGAATAATTATCTAGCAAATGGAGTACTTTTATATCCCTTGGAAAACAAGATTATATTTAGTTAGTTTTTTTTAAATATGAAAATAAGTAATTTAAAATCAATAGCAATTTGTTGAAAATAAAAACAAGTTATATATTTGGAAGCAAAATTAATGAAGAAAAGGTTCGAGGTACCGTAAAAAATCGCCAGGCTGTTATTGACGCCAATTAAGCTCAATTAATGTTGGTAATATGTACTACTGGTATTGTGGTAATAGGTGTTGCTTTAAAAAGTGCCAAATGTACTAATAAAGGTATTTAATTTTGATGTTAAGGTGCTTAATATTGCGTACTACAATAATAAGTTTTTTATGGTATCTCTAAAGACATAAATATTGGAAATTTGTTTTTTAATTCGGTCAATGTTGATCATCACGAGTAAGCTTCGAGCAATAGCATTGTGTTTCGAGCGTTTATATTCGAGCAATAGCATTGTGCCAAATGAAAACAGTTAAATTTTGTTTTGACGAAATGAACTTCCGAAAACGTGTTTTGCTTAATTTGATAACATAAAGTGATTTAACAAAAGTAAAATTAAAGTAAATTAACGTTAATTAAAGTAATTTAACAAATTATAGTAAATAGAAACAAACCGGAATTATTTTGGCTTTATAGATTATCTTGATGTTTGCTTCTAGTTTTGTCGCAGCTTTGATAAATACCAATTTATTAAGTATTTGCTTTTTTTTTATCCCGTATAAAAAGCTAGCTTTCAGCAAGTTTTAAAATAAAAAACACCTGACTCTCAGTTTAACAAAGCTTTAATTAACGACATTCTCTGTTTAAAGATATGTTACGGTCCCAGCTCTTTCGTACTTGAAAATATTTACTTAAGAACTAAGGTGTTTTTGTTAAGGAACAATATTTTTTAACGTGTAGAATTTTTTTTACACCCTTTTATCACAACATACCGATTTTCTGTGAGAGAAAACATGTTTAGTTCCAACTGTTAGAAATTTCTCGGAAATATGGTTCAATAACAATTTATTTAATTGTTATTTTAACATACACTCTATAACAAAAAAATATCGACGCACCAAGAAGGAGTTGTCCGATTGAAGCGAAAATTATTCGATTGGACGACAATGTACAGAGTAGTAAATGATTAAAATTTCAGAACAATTGAATAATTTATTGCAGAGTTACAGTAACAAGTTCAATAAGGTATTGACCCGCCTCTAGCCTGGATACAAGCTGCCACACGGCGTGGCATAGACCGATAAAGCTCCCGGATGGTCTCTTGCGGTATTTCCTGCCAAATTCGATCCAATTGTCGAACGAGGTCATCAACATTCCGTGCCAGATGCAATCGCCTTCCCATCATATCCCAGACATGCTCGATGGGAGAGAGATCTGGTGATCTGGCAGGCCAAGGAAGAGTTTGACAAGCTTGCAGACAGTTCATAGCAACACGTGCCGTATGTGATCTGGCATTGTTTTGCTGAAGAACCAGCCCAGGGCGCTGCAAAAGGTACGGTAGCAAAACAGGTCTTAGGATGTCGTCGACGTACCGCTGTGCAGTAAGTGTACCTCTAATGACGACCAAAGGGGTCCGGCTGTCACAGGGAATGGCACCCCAGACCATAATGCCTTGTTAAGGGCCGGTATGGGGTGCAGTAGTGAGGGAAGGATCCCCCTCTGCCCTGTGCGTCTCCAAACACGTCTTCGATGATCGTCAGGACGCAGTTGGAAGCGGGATTCGTCGCTAGAGACTATACGTCCCCAGTCGGCATCATTCCAGCCTGATCTGTTCAAAACATTCATGCATACGAAATTTCAAAGCAATCGGATGATTGCTTCTTGGTGCGTCGATTTTTTTGTTATAGAGTGTACTTGAACAAAACTGTCATATTATATATAAATAATATGGTAAAACTGCTAACTGTGAAAAAAAAATTTATTGACTGTTTCCACCTAATACGGCTAAACAATCTGAATTTTATCGCACCAACTAAATACACCTAATGAAGCCACTTAATCCCTTGCAGATAAGTGCTTATTATAGCTGAGAGGGGAAATCTGTCAATCTCATTACCGACAGAACAGAGGTTCGTGTCAAATCATTTTCACATCAACATTTCCTCCATTCTTATCAACAAATAAAGACTTTCCAGTGACATGTACTTCTCAATTCGTGACCCTGGAGTATAAAAAAACGATACTCTCATTCATACATAGATGGCAACACCATAAAGCTGCTGAACTATCTCCAATTTCCAGTTAATATCTTTTTTTTTGTGGCTTTGAAACCATGACAGTTGTAAATGGCTAAGGACCCGTTTAGTAACGGTATTCATGTTTTTTTTAAACCATACTAGTTGTAAACGGTTTCGAAATCGTTAACGTAAAAAACTTTCTTTACCAAATTATTCTATGATTAATTGGGTGGAATTATTCAACCATAATTTTAGAACAAAAATTCCAACAGTGCAAGGGGATTCCAAAAAGAAAAAAAAAAGAAAAAAAAAGGACTTGGTAGGAAGATTTCTTTAACTGAGATAAAAACTGACTTAAGGGTGTAAATGAAAATTAAGTTAAAAAAAAAAAATATCGAAAATAGTGAAATTATAAATCACTGCTTTCTAATACAGACGTTATTGATGTTAAGATTGCTCATCCAGTATTGAAGATGGCCTTTTCAAAATGCTCGAAAAATTGAGGAAAAAATTATTATAACGAGAAATGTTATTATAACGAGTTATTATAAAGTTTATTTCCTTTTTGTACCATTTTACTTCATTTTGTTACGGTAATTTATTTTTGTATTAACGTAATTTGTACAAAAAAGAGAGACAAAAAAACAGTTTTAAACGTTCTAATTTATTACGCATTAAATTTGCAGACTTAAGCAAGAAAAAGTGTGAAGAGAAAATTTTCTCAACTGTAACGTTTCCACATAAGGCCTAAGGATGTCTAATCTAAGCCTAAGGATTTCTTTTTAAGGATCCCTTTTCAGACAGGGGAGAGATTTTACTTCCGCTCTGTTAACATACGAAGAACTGAAAGTTTATAATTTCCTTGTTAATCCTATAACTAATTAATATTTTGAGTATGTTTTGTTTCATTTTATTTCTTGAAATTTGATCTATTGAGCTTAGTTGCAAAAGTTTAAATATTAAGGTTGTAAGAATTTCAAAAACTTTTTCAAAGTTCAAGTTTCAAAAATACTTAAAAACTTTAAATTTAATATTCAGTGGCTGAAAATAGAACACATCAACGAATAAAATTAAGCAAATATTATTCAAAATTATTAATTAGTTTCTGAATAAATTAGGGAATTCCGAGCACATGATTCTGCGTATCAAAAGTNTATCCTAAGATGATATAGCTAAAAGAAATAAATATCTTTAATGACATTAGGATTATTCTGGATTCTAGTATTTTAAGACTTTTTTTCTTCATTTAGTCTCAATATTATTTTTTTCTAATGCAGTGTAAGCTGTAAAATAATTAATTCTACTTGTAATGCATGGAGTTAACATTTCGCATGCATTATTTGAAAAAAATAATTTGCCATCAAAACAAAATCTGTGAAAATATATATCTGTGTTTTTTATTATATTCATTAAATATTAGATAATTCAAAAAAAATTAGAGTTATGCAACATTATGTCCCTGAGTTTATTGATTGAAGAAAAACCTTTAAAAAATTAATTCAATGTTTATTAATGAGTTAAAGTTTAGTCATTGAGGTTTGATAAATAACTTTAAAAAAATGTTAAAGTTTAGTCATTGAGGTTTGATAAATAACTTTAAAAAAATGTTAAAGTTATCAACTTGAATATTGATTATTAAATTAATATATTCAAACTTGACAGACTTTTTGAAATCTAACAACTGTAGAAGATGAATTTAACATCCCTGACTTCTCTAATATTATGCAAACTATAAAACTCCACTTCCTGATCACTGACGCTCGACAATCCCCGGAACTATTTTTAACAGTTCCCTTCAGGATTGCCTTGCAATTCGAACTCGCTTTACTCGCTCACTGGTTACGTTACTTCCGTCTAGCTTAATATGCTTTTTTGAAGTCTAAAGTTTAGAATAAATAGTTCATGAAACTTTTCTCGGTACTCAATTCTAAATATATATTAAAAATAATAAATTATTAAAAATTATTTTTTGCGAAGAATTATCTTTGGATAGTTGTGTGCAAAAATTTTCCAATGCTTTAAAAGTTATCGACATATGGTGAAATTAGTTTATGTTTTATGTAATATGGATTGTTTACTTTCTTCCATGTTTTCCTATTTCCCCTTTATATTCATATGCTTTTATAGTTTGCAAAGTAAAAGAAATCATTTTTGATTTGAAAAGAAAATTAGTTATCCTAATATACAAATAGAAATTTATCAATTCATATTCAAATGTATCAAATATATTCAAGGAAAATTAGAAACATCTATGAAAAGACATTAGAAGATTAAGTTTTGAATTTAATGTATATATATATATATATATATATGAGTTTACGACTGCTAATGTTCAAATCCATAGGCTTTTAATTTTGAACGCAATCCAGAAGACAAGGAAACTCTTGGATCGAATAGTGGGAGGAGAAATTTGCCTTCGTGAGGGCATTTTAATGAAACTAACCCGCATTTGCGTTAAATGGAGAAGAAAACCACGAAAACCTTTTACGGTCAGTATGACAGCAAGGAACTCTAATGCGGTTATAATAATAACTGCGGTTGGTGCAAACCGTATGCGGAATTCGTTTCGACCAGCTCTATCCTTAGAGCTAACACGACTAAAAATAATTTGTTATAAAACTTTCAGATTGTCTAGTGATAATTTGTTATCAAATTTTCACTAGATATTATATTTTCGGTGCAACTAACTAATTAATTTTAATTTTTATTTTTAGATTAGCAATTCGATATATCGCTCAGCTTTCTCACGAAGTAAATGCTCCAGCCTGCTCCAACGTAAATATGGACTATAACATGCATTCTTCACAAATATGGGCTGCAGCACCCAATTACTATAACTGGATCAAACAAGTAATTTAATTTTAATTATAATTATAATTAACGTATGCCCTATTTGTGGTTTGCACTCATCTCGGAATCAAACATTTAATGTTGAAGCCGGTATGAATGTTGGACTAGTAGCGCCACCTACATTTATTTGATCAAAAAAAGTTAATTTTCAGTTGGTTTAATTGCCTCTGCAGAGATAGATCAATGCACTGTTCATAATAAACGCATTAATTATGAATTTTCATTTCTTTAATGGTCATTATTTTAGAAGAGAAATCTTCCAATTAACATTGTTTTCATGAGTTCTGAATATCGAACCACGCAAAACCGTAAACGCAAATCAAAGATAAAATATTAGTATTTAACAAAATATAATTGAAAATATTTATACACAGACACAAAAAGTGGTCTATTTACGACGGCAGCGTTCGAATACACTATCTGGGGAGTAGACCGACATTGTGACCCCTCTAATTTGTGTATAATTATATCCTTTGATATGGTGGTATAGTATGTCATAATGTAATACCTGACCGAGTTTGAATATTAAGGGACGATACGGAGCCTTTTATATGTACAGCTTTTTAAAGTGTCACGTCCTTTTTTTCTTTTAATTATTTCCCGAGTTTCCAAATTTGTCTATAATTATTTTCTTTGGTATGGTAGTATAGTATGTTATAATCTAATACCTGTTCGAGTTTGAATGTCATAGGTTAATATTAAGGGGAGATATAGGCCCATATGTGTATACAGTATATAAGCAGCAATTTCTCCATTTTAATGCTTTAAAACGCAATTACAAACGCAATTTAAATGCGGTTCCATGTACTGACCCTTCCCTCTTCTTCTCAGTTGTATAGGAATGTACTACGATATTTTCCCTTTCCTTAATATTTTTCGTATTTGATTGTCAAAAATATTTTTTAAAAATTTCCCGACGCCTTCTTTTGGAACTATGTTCAATATAGTTTACAGTTCCATATAGCTGTCTAACTTGAAAGTATTTATTCTGTTTGAAAATCAAGACAGAAACTAACGTACTTACTTCTCCTGTGACTCTCCTCACGCTAATGGAGAAAGCAGGCGAAGTGTTGCCATAGGGAGAGAGTTCTGTTTAGGCCATCTGTAGCCCATTTAGATAGCCAATATATGAAAAGCTACTATCTGGAAAAGGTTTTAGTACATATTTGTTTAAACCAAGTGGATATTTCCTTTTGTTACATACCACATTAACTTTAAAAAAAAAATATGTGTTAAAAACTTCAGATCTAGTCTTATTTTATAACCGTCGTTTAACAGCCGACCCAATTTTTGGGTTTACGACTACTAATGTTCAACTCCGTAGTTTTATAATTTTGAGCCCAATCCAGAAGACTGGAAAATTCCTGGGATCAAGTATTGGGAGAAAGTTGCCTTCGTGAAGGACTTTTTTAGTGAACTTATGCCTCTATCACACGAGAGAAAAATAATTGCAACCGTAAGTGTAACTGTAAGTGTAAGTGCAACTGTAAGCGCAATTCCTCCGTTCGGAGTTGCCGAAAGGGTTGCTTAATTGCCTGAACGGTTGCATGTAATTGGGTTACCATATTTTGTTATTTATCTTTACTTTTGGCTCTTATTTCATTCTATAATATGATTCTATTATATCATAGTTTCTCAACGACGTTCGTAAAGGGAGGAAAAAGAAATCACAGACGCTGTAGAATATTGATTGATTTTGATTTAATTTTTTACATTTGTATTTGTGTTAAATCTTTTTTTCTGCAGCAAATAAAAATTCTAAAAACTTTATTTCCCCATTAGTGAAGTAGCATAGTATAAAAAGGATTATGATTTCTACCCCATAATATGAGATGATATTTAAGATATCATTGAATTTCATGCTGCGTCCTTAAAAGGATAAGGGGTGAAAGGGAGATGGACTTAAATACTATCTAGAATTTTGACGATTTTTTTACGTTGATTTGAGTGACTAATGTATAAAACATGGTGCGTAGCGTTTTTAAAAACTGCTTAGCTTTTTTAAAAGGTGCTTTTTAAGTGAGGTAGCACGGTATAAAAAGGATTATGATTTCTATCTCATATTATAAGATGATATTAAGATATCAATGGTCCCGCAGTGGACTGATCGTTAAGACACGGTTCCCAGCAGATCACCGCAGTCAAGCATCTCTGGCTACGGTCAGCGTGCGGGTGGGTGACCACTTGGATCAGTCTGCGTAGGGACCGAGGGTGTGCGGTATTGGTCCTCNTGACCGAGTTTGAATATTAAGGGACGATACGGAGCCTTTTATATGTACAGCTTTTTAAAGTGTCACGTCCTTTTTTTCTTTTAATTATTTCCCGAGTTTCCAAATTTGTCTATAATTATTTTCTTTGGTATGGTAGTATAGTATGTTATAATCTAATACCTGTTCGAGTTTGAATATCATAGGTAAATATTAAGGGGAGATATAGACCCATATGTGTATGCAGTATATAAGCAGCGATTTCTCCATTTTAATGCTTTAAAACGCAATTAGAAACGCAATTTAAATGCGGTTCCATGTACTGACCCTTCCCCCTTCCCTCCTCTTCTCAGTTGTATAGGAATGTACTACGATATTTTCCCTCTCCTTAATATTTTTCGAATTTGATTGTCAAAAATATTTTTTAAAGTTTCGCGACGCTTTCTTTTACAACTATGTTCAATATAGTTTGCAGTTCCATATAGCTGTCTAACTTAAAAGTTTTCATAAACAGGTGTGACGTATGATGTGGCAGAAGTCGAATTCTTGACCATAGATGGCTCCTCTGAAAAACAGGAATCGCGCACTCTGCCTTAAATTTTCTCGGTTTCACCAAGCAGGCTTGTCCGTGTGGCAAGTGGCATTAGAACCAACCAACCAACTTAAAAGTTTTTATTCTATTTGAAAATCACGACAGAAACTAACGTACTTACTTCTCCAATGACTCTCCTCACGCTAAAGGAGAAAGCAGGCGAATGTTGCCATAGGTAGAGAGTTCTGCTTAGGCCATCTGTAGCCCATTTAGATAGCCAATATATGAAAAGCTACTATCTGGAAAAAGTTTTAGTACATATTTGTTTAAACAAAGTGGATATTTCCTTTTGTGTTACATACCACATTAACTTTAAAAAAAAAATGTATTAAAAAGTCCAGATCCAGTTTTATTTTATAACCGTCGTTTAACAGCCGACCCAATTTTTTGGTTTACGACTACAAATGTTCAACTCCGTAGTCTTGTAATTTTGAGCCCAATCCAGAAGACTAGAATATTCCTGGGATCAAGTATTGGGAGAAAGTTGCCTTCGTGAAGGACTTTTTTAGTGAACTAACCCCCATTTGCGTTACATGGAAAGGAAAACTTCGAAAACTTCTCACAGTTAGTCTGACGTCAAGGGGTGTTTAACCCATGATCCGTCTATCACTGAGGATATTTTACGTCAGCACAGTGGTCGGTGCAAGCTGGATGCGAAATTCACATCGACCAGTCATTCACTTGTGCTATGCTTTTTTTTTCTTCTTTAAAAAAAGTAACTCTCCTTTTTAAAAACACTCCAGGCAAGAATGGGCTAAATGTAATCACGCGTCTTTCAAAGTCAGTTTTTAAGCGTAAGTTTCTTGATAACTTACGAATACAGTGCGTCCAGCTTAACTGATTTCAAAATTAAAAATCTCGTAAGCAAAAGAAGACAGAAGAATGAAACAAGCAGTATGTTTATTGTGAAGGTTACAAAATTTTCACTCAGAAGTTTCGGAATTTGCGGCTATGTACAGAGTTCTTAAAAAGAACATAAATGCCTTTGGACTGTACTCAAACCTGTGATGTTCCAGTAACAATTATTTTTTTTTTTGATTAATTTTACTTTTGCTGTAGTAATCTGATTTTAGGAATATTTTTTAATTGAATTTGAAATTCGAATGGAATATTTTTTAGTAATCTTTCGTGTTTTTCTTCTGTGGTTCCCAGCTAAAAATAAGCTGCAGAAAATCTACAAAAAAATGCAGTTAGAAGGCTGTGGTGATTTGACCAATTCCGCTTCAGAATTTTTGAAGTGGAAACATGGCAAAATTACTGCAATTTGTAAGCGGCAGTAATTTCGTAGTAGTACCGACATCAAAATTTGTACACTAAATATACAGAAATATCATTATTTAGTGGTGCCATCTATCGTGAGTAATAGGAAATGCTATGGTTTTTGTTTTGGAATTTTTTTTGTCACTTGGTCAGATGTATCAATTAAGGAGTATATCACTTGTGAAATTATCATACTGTGAATATGTTGACTCCTTGAATCTTGGGGTTCGAACTCCAACCCTGTCTGCCCTGAGAGTGAAAAATTAGCCCTCACGGATATAGCTTTGTGTCACTGCAGTTGCAAGAAACTAAATGCTTTCTTGAGGTGGGTTTTGTTGACCTGGAAAAAAGTTTTGCTTGTTTATTTATATTAAGTAAACACACAGCCAATAAATTTTTAGTTAACAGTTTGAATAGCGTCATTTTATGGTTAACTAATTGTTTTGATTGTGTATACCGTAAAATTACTATTAAATGAATTATGACCTAAAAAACTTGACCTAAAAAATTCATTTTTAATTACTTATTTCAAAACTTCTCCCTTAACTTACGTCAAATTTGACATTTACAAATAATTTTGCTAAAATTTAAATTTCTACTATTTCAATTTTGTCTTTAAAAAATAAGATAAGGATTTTTATACAGAAAATAAGTAAAACTCGTTCCAATAGATGCATACGTATTATTTTTACCTGCTTCACGTAATTGTGATTACAAATAATTAAAATTTTGCTTGAAATTAAATATGTTACACATTCGTTACGTGATGGAATGTGCATTGCTGTTATTCACTATTTTTTTTAAAACTTTATTTTTTATTTCTACAGGATATGGATCAAGTGAATTGCAATCATTCAAGTGGGCAGTCATACATGCGAAGAGATTATTTTTGGCAATCAGAAGATCAACAGCAATCTTATCTCTATCCAGAAGTCTGAAGAATTTGAAGAGAAACATTTGTATATTTTCATCAGTTTTTTAAGTTGAAGCATATGTTAACTGGTGTGACCGCATCAGTAACTAAATACATTTCGAACACAAAACTTAATTATCTGAAATCAAGTGGTAAAAACCTCAAGACCAAAGGTAATCTTATTTCTAACCAGAAGTATAAAGAATTTGAAGAGAAACAATTGTATTTTTTTAATCAGTTTTTACAGTATAAGAATACCTATGTTGACTGATGTGACCGCATCAGTAACTAAATACATTTCGAACACAAAACTTAATTATCTGAAATCAAGTGTTAAAAACCTCAAGACCAACAGCAATCTTATTTTATCCAGAGGTATGATGAATTTGAAGAGAAAAAATTGTATTTTTTCATCAGTTTTCATACGGTGGAAAATATTTTAACTGATGTGGTCAATAACTAAATACATTTCGAACACAAAACTTAATTATTTGAAATCAAGTGTTAAAAACCTCAAGACCAACAGCAATCTTATCTCTATCCAGAAGTATAAAGAATTTGAAGAGAAACAATTGTATTTTGTTAATCAGTTTTTACAGTGGAAGAATACTTATGTTGACTGATGTGACCGCATCTGTAACTAAATACATTTCGAACACAAAACTTAATTATCTGAAATCAAGTGTTAAAAACCTCAAGACCAACAGCAATCTTATTTTATCCAGAGGTATGAAGAATTTGAAGAGAAAATTTTTTATTTTTTCATTAGTTTTTATACGGTGGAAAATATTTTAACTGATGTGGTCAATAACTAAATACATTTCGAACACAGAACTTAATTATCTAAAATCAAGTGGTGCAAATTTTAAGTTGTTATTTAGATGAACATTTATGTTCTTAGAGTTGATGTGCCACATTTATTTAAAATTCAAGAGCTTACAGCGGATCGTTCTACTCTCGCCATTTTGTAATCGTTGTGAAAAAATTGATATATAGGGTTACTAATCAAAGGACTTCATCAAACTCTTTTCAACTAGCAATGTAGAGAAATTTATTAAAAAATTTTCTGGGCAGCCATTTTTGTGACAAAATATCCTCATTAACTGTAATATTCTCTGATAAGATTTATGTAAAACACCTTAGAGTGATTTAATTTCAGACTAGTTCATCCTTTAGCAATCATTCTCACAAATTTAGTCACGAGAAAAAAAATACTATAGAACTTTTTTTGTTTCCTGGAAAAAGAGAAGAATTTAATAAAATTTTACTGAACTGTGAATTTTCTAGAAAAACTGGAAAAAGTGTTCGCATGCTGCAAAATTAGTGAATTTGGTGAAATCAACTTTAGAATTTATTTAAAGACAGGGAAGAAGTTTATAAATAGCATTAATGTTTGATTTTTCTATTGAAATCTTCTTTGCAGATTTTTCACAATGAAATAAAGATCTATATTTATATTTAGCATATATATTCTGAAATAGTATTAATAACCTTAATACTAAAGGCTATTTAGAGTTACTTATTACATTTAATCATAATCTGTTTGAAATTTTATTTATTTATTTATTTTACAATGTCACTTACCTGGTTACTCGCATTTATTGGAGGGATAACAATTAGGAAGATTTACGCAAATTAAGTTTAAAAAAAATTTTGAATACATTTTTTACCTTCAATTTATTTCATTTTTTCTTATATATCTTAAATATCAATTTACAAAAATTAGACCATTATGATTTTATGTTATATAGAGAAACGTTTTCCTATAATACTATTTAAAAAAAAAAGTTGTTGTATGGATTTGAATTATTGTTTTTAATTCTTAGAATTTTGTGTATTTGCAATGTACCTGAGTTAGTGGCGAGCGAAGTGAGCTTGGTTTGCGAAGCAAACCATATAAGATTGTGTAGCAATTTTCAGGGGTTGGCGAGCATTAGCGAGCAAGGGGCGCAGCCCTCTAGGAGTATCAATTATTGTGAGAAAAGTCGCGATGGCTCAGGGGATAGAGCGTTCGTCTTCCAGTGAGGTGAGCGGGTTCGATTCCCGGCAATAACTGGGCGATACGAATTCCGCATCCGGCTGCACCAATCACAGTACTATAGTGAATTATCTTCAGTGGTAGACGGATCATTGGTTAGAATCCCTTTACATTCAGGCTAAACGAGGGAGGTTCTCGTGGTCTTCCTCCCCATGTAACGCAATTGACGGTTAGTTCCATCGAAAAGCCCACCGCGATGGCAAAAATTCTTCCAATACTTGATCCAGGAGCTCCCTTGTCTTCTGGATTATGTTCAAAGTTACAAGGCTACGGAGTTGAACATTAGTAGTCGTAAACCCAAAATTCGGGTCGGATGTCGTAAAATAAGCGACGGCTGTAAATTTTTTTATTTCCAATGAGCTGCGCAATTGGTCTTGTCGATGAGCCACAATGGGTGAGGACAACCACAATGGGTGAGATACCGTTGGTCATGCTAATTTGGACGTCTAGTTTCTGCCACACTAGATGGCAGCACGGTTGTAAATTAAAAAGTAAAATAAAATTATTGTGAGGAAAAAGAAAATTCTAGGCCAGATTTGTTGGCTCATAAAATAGTCAAAATGTCAATCTCTTATGTTCATTATGTCAAATTGTTATTGTGCTTTTTATTTTGACCAATTCCTTTTTTTTTCCACATCTCCTTAGAGGCTTCCATCCTTTCTCACTCCGCTCAAAACCTCCACTAGTTTATTACCTTGTTCGTAAGCAGACTGTTACATTAAAATTATAATTTACTTACTTAAATGAACCCAAAATCCTCCACTCTATTAACACCGAGATTTAGTTCCTGATACTATCGAGATAAAATTTAAACCTGATAATTTTGCTCTGCTACCATTAACACTTCATCCCTCAAATAGTTTTTTTTCTCTTTCAATTCCCAGTATTAGTTCACACTCTCCCTATATCTTGTTCAAATTTTCAATCGTTAATAAAATACTTCTTTATTCTTATACTCAAGTTCAAATGCATTTTTTTTAAACTTGTAGTCGATGACACTTGATGTTAATACAGTTTTTTCAATCATATATTAAATGATGATGAGCGAAAAACGAAACGGAATTTTCTGATGGGTTAAGCGTTAGTTATTGTTTTAAATTTTACTATAAGCTATTCAGTTTTTCACATATTTTAAAGATAACATCAGTGATAATTTCTGACTTATAGCTCTATTTGAACAAAAAATATAGTGTATTGAGCTCACTTGAATATTTAATTATTTTATATTCGTTGTATCAGATCAATTCAATAAAGAAGATTATGTGGTAGCACGTGTGGTCCACGTCACCAAATTTAAATGTTCCAACTGTCTGATACTACGAGCCTTTTTTTCCCATTACTACTATCAGTTCATTCATGTTTATCTAATGTATGCCTACTAAACATATAAATTTTTAAATACACGTGTTAGAGAAAATTTTAAAATTAAGTTGATATTGCCTGCAAAGTAATATTGCTAAATCAAAATTACCATGAAATGTAATTTTCGATCAAATAAAAATATTTATTATGCTCACTTTATTTTATCAAATGCCACAGTTTCTTTCATTAAATTTCACGCGAAACGAAGTACTGACTGATGAAAAAGGAAACACCATTTCAGGCTTTTAAATGTTTCAATTTTTTCATTTATTTATATTTGTACGATAAGTATTTGTATATATATGACTTCCAAATTGATACAGCAACATATTTTGACACGATAAAAGTATGACTATGAATTTTTTTAATAGTCCAGTAACATACTTTCCTTTCTGAATACTCAAGATTTTCTTTCATAGAAAGCTTCGTCGTGCTATACGTGGAAGAATGGCATATTTATAAATGACATGCTTGAAAACTCTCTTTTAATCCCCAATGTATGCTTCCCTCTTTTTTGAAGGAAATAAGGGCGATTCGAGGGGAACAATTAAATTTTTTCTTAACAGGAAAGTGAGGCATTGTTGCACGCTGAATTAAATGAGGCCGATTCCAAGACGACTGGATAAATAGCTTAGAAATTATAGTGTTTTTTAATGCTCGAAAAGAACATTTTTGTTCTTTTATTGATAGAATAATTTAATAGATGAAATAAAGAACTATTCAAAGAAATAAGTGATTCATTGATTCCTATGTATTTTGCGAATAATATAATACCCGAGTCATTAGAACAAAAAAGTTCAAAAATTTTTACTCATAAAAAGCACACATTTAGACATGTACTTAAGTTTACACTTTTCATAGCTATCCAGGAACTATATGAATACGTAACGTATGTTTTTGGATGTAATTTTTCCTGTTGAATTGAATGAGTTAAAACAGGAATTGATAAAATAAAATGATATGATGGTTTTGTGTGAAAAAAAACACAATTTTGTGTTTATGTGTATTTTTGTGTTTGTGCTCTTATTTACTTATCTTACATTTCTATGCAGACAAATGAGGTGTTGTTTACTATGTATATATATTTTTTTCGTTACATCGAACGAGACTAAACACGAATTAAAAGAGTTAACATTTTATAAGTTGAAATGTTCTTCTTTTCGTATAAAAAGTACTATATTTGGAACCTTGAATTTTCCTCATTCAATACAGTATTAAAAAAATTCAGCGGAAAATGTACATTACATATTCAGATAGCCCTTAGATAGCATGCTATCTAAGGGCTAAAGTTACTACATTTTTTTACTTTAAAGTAAAAAAATGTAGTAACTCATATTAAAAGAAGCACACAAAAACAATTGCAACTCTTGAACTATACGTTCTATTGACTGGTGTATAGTTTCATTCGATTTAACATAAAGAAATACACAGAAAACAATGTCTCACTTGTTTAGATAGCAATGCCGGATGCTTAAATAGTCACAAAAACAAATTTGTATTTATTTTAGTAAAACGCATATGACTATAAGCTAGATAAACTGAATTCAGTACATAAAAATACATATGAAACAATGTCTCACTTGTATGGCTAAATGGAAAAAAAATTCAAATCCATCCATTTATCTCAAACAAGGGGGAAGCGTTCAGTGAAGATTGGGGAAGCTTTTACACATCATTTATAATAACATAACTTAATAATTCATACATCATTTATAATAACATAGCATAAGCTTTTTATTACTTTTTACGGAGAAACATCCTTTTTTTTTTTTAAATTTTGTTTTATAACCATCGTTCAACAGCCGATCCAGCTTTTGAATTTACGACTACTAATGTTCAACTACGTAGCCTTGTAATTTTGAACCCAATCCAGAAGACCAGGCAACTGTTGGATCACGTATTAGGAGAAATTTTGTCTTCGTGGAAGACTTTTTGGATGGAACTAACCCGCATTTACCTTACATGGAGAGGAAGACCATGAGAACCCTCCCGGTTCGCCTTACGGCAAAAGGGACTCTAATCCATGATCCATCTCCCACTGAGAAATTTCACGTCAGCACTGTAGTCGTTGCAAGCCTGATGCGGAATTCGTATAGACATACCATCGCTGGAATTTGAACCCGGTTCACGTCATTGGAAGGCAAACGCTCTATCCCTTTAGCCTTCGAGCCTCACATTCTTATTTTTTTTGCTGCAATAGACAACACAAGAAAGGCGAAACTTTACAAGTTTCCCACAGTGAATGTATATGTAAACAAAGTAGAAAACACTCGTTGACTGCACCACAAATCCTCCTCTCAAATTCCACAGGATAGTTTGTTTATAAAAATATCTCCCCTTGTCCCGAAGTCTAAAACCGTCTGCTGCTATGAAAGCAAGAAATAGGTCATTTCTAAGGGGAGAGCTTCTTTCCCCCCTGATTCCTTTTATCTCACCGACTCGAGTCAAAACCTGTCTTAAATAATGACCCAACAATCCTACTTGAAATAGGTAAGCATCGTAACCATAGTCGCTGCCACCACTCCAGACGAATGGCTAGGGGAGTTCTTTACATAAAATAGGGATGCTTGATCCATACAAGTTCGCTCTTTGAAATTAAAAAAGAATTATTTTCAGATTTCTTCGCTGTTATTATTTATATATACATCTGGCTGTTTTGTAAAAATGTTTTTATTGAAAAATATCAGCAGAACAAACAATGTATAATTATTAGTGTTTATTTTCGTATTAGAACTTTACGAACTGCACTCTCAACTCTATGGCATGGCAATATTTCGGGGAAGGCCCATTTCTCTTCCAGCATGATAATTACTCCATTCACACATCGATGCTTGCACAGACGTGGTTTGACAAAATGGTTGTTCAAAAACTGGACTGGCCTTCTCAGAGCCATGATCTAAATCCCATAGAACGCGTTTGGGACGAATTAGAGAGCAGATTACGTAGCCAATCAAATCGACCCTCCTCACTGCAAGCACACGCTTCAGCTGTGATTGAAGTCAAGAGCCTCAGAAGGCTCTTTTTCCATATCACTGGATGCCCGGATACTTTTGGCCGGATAGTGTA